AATAATTTACATATAATTTGTTGATATTATGTTACTTGATGTATTATTATTATTGTTATTGCTTGATCACGCCTTTTATGCATGTTTAAAGAGAATTTGTACTTGTTGTTTTGGGTGTTTTTATCCCTCGATAGAGTTACAGCTCAGAGATTGGTTGCGCCGGCTTGTACTTGCAAAACAACGGAGACTCTCAGTGGTTGGAGCTCCGCCTCCGGCGATGAAGTTAGTACTTGAATAAAAAAGGGAGAAAGCGCGGAAAAAGAGATGAGATCTTCTCGCATTCTGAGATCAAGTGATTCTCTGATGTAAGAGAGTGTAGGGTATGCTGTAATAATTGTAGATGCCCCAAAAATGGAGGAAATCTCCTTATTTAAAGGGTCATTAGAAAATGTGCCCGTGATTAGGTCACTCTTACCTAATTATTTTGGGTTGCGCCGAATTACGACTTTCTCGGGATTTTGGCCATTTAATGCCACCTTTTTCTCCCGAGTTCTAGAAAGGACACGTGTCGAATAGAGATTTGTCCAATTTGGACCAACAAGGGTATGACACGTGTCAAGATATGAATGGTCCATGTGCCACGGGTAAAATTACCCAAAACATTTGCCCCTCACTGTAGACACCTAAAAATGTCTCCCCAAAACCAAACGCAATGATGAACCACCTTTCACCGCCATTATTGGTCAGGTTGAGTATTTAATATTGGAGTGCTTTAAATCCATATTTCCGTCTCTTAAACCAACCCAAATTCTAGCCCATTACCCCAAACCATAACTTATTTTCCTCTTTTCGTGCCTTTAAACCCAAAATAATTCATTTCGTGTCCTTTTTATAAAAACGTTTAATTCAGTTTATTTTGGTCCATAATCTGTAATCCCCTATATTTTCAACTTAATTATAATATATTTATATATTATTCTTACAAATATTTTTATGTCAATTTCATTGAATAAATTATTTTTATGAAAAGATTTAAGTAAACTAATATGTTTTCGACTAATTTACAAACAATTTTAACTTAATAGCCCAAAACCTCAAATTTTACTCCTAATCTAATTAGGAAACCCAAGGCCCAAATAAAACCCTCAAAAACCCACACACTTTTCCTCTCTCTCACATAAAAAAAAAGAAAAGAAAGCTTTCACTCTCCATCTTCTCCCTGCATTCACGAACAGCAAAAAAAGAAAAAAGAAAAAAACCCCTCAAAGCTCCTGCCGCCGCACCAGCCACACGAACCACCTCCTCACCGGACGCCTGCATCGCCGCCCCTCACCAGCCGTCGGCCAGCCACGCCTCCACCTGCAGTCCGCCCCTTCTTCTTCCCTTTTCTCTACTTCTTTTTATTTTATTAAATTGATTTAAAGTTGTAATATGTGTTTAATTTTTATTATAAATGATTGTTATTATGGTTTGATATTATACTTGGGTTGTAAAATATTATGAATATATGAGTTTTGACATGTTTAATTTATTATAGAAAATTTCAGATTTGTTTAATTAAGAAAATAAGGGTTTAAACATTGATTTTTCATGTTTTAGGGCTTGAAAACATGTTAATCAAGTTAACTAATCATACTATGTTTAAATTACGTTAAATTATAATTATTTTAATCATATATAAATTTTCAGATTTATTAAAGTTTCAATTTTTATGAACAAGTTGTGTTAATTTCATATTTTTATGCTTCTAGTCTTATAAAATAATCATTGTGGGTATTTTATGATTAAAAACGCTTTGAACTTTAAATTCTAATCTTAAGAACAAATTTTCAGATTTTATACTTTTATTTTGAAGCCTCTAATTGCATTGAATTAGTATTTTTTTTGGGTTTTTAACACACTAACTTGCTATTTAATGATTATTTCAAGTAATAATACTTATGGGGTTATTTTATATACTTAAAACAAAATTCCAGATTTATTTACTTACTTTAAAGTTGATGTAATTTGATATAAAACACTATATTTTCATAATTCTAACATATAAACTTAAAGTTGGGATGTTATATTATTAACTTTGATTATTGGGGACAATTTAAAGGCTTTATTTTGATGATTTAAGAGGTTTTAAAGTAGTTTAGTATTGCTGTAAATTTATTTGCTTTGGTATTGATTTATTTCTAATTGTTTGGTTTAGGAGAGGACTTTGTAGAAGGCGACTTCTAGTTTTAAAGTGGCCAACCGGATTGTTTACACAAGGTACGTACAAGTTACGAAACCTTGCTTGTAGGTGCATGTTTAAGGACCGATCGAGAACTTAGTATCATGTATAGGATTGACTAGGTTAAATTGTCTGGTTATACATTGTGAATTTCAAATGATGTGCACTAGTTTATAATGCAAGTATTATTCGTGCTCTAATTATGCAAGGTGCGCTTAAAGGAAAAGGTATGTGATTGGTGTAAAGATTAAATTATTACTCATTCATGATTATGCAAACAGGATGAGTAAAGGAGAAATTCAAGTCTTGTAAGACGAGGTTAAGGTTTTGGGGTGCCTTATGCACTCAAGGTGTTTATACACCGAGGTAGTAAAGGAATATTTAATAAATGTTGTTTTTCACTAATAAATCAAGAATTTAAATTGAGAATTTGCCATGTTTGATTGAATTGTGTTTTGAATGTTTGTATTGTAATGTATATGAGTCGTCACCAAGTCTAAACCTGTAAATTACGTAAAGTGCAAGATGGATGAGCAATAAAACTCTTGAATGATGCACATCTGGAATAATGACAATCAGGGGTTGGGGTACATGGGGTATTAGCCGTGTACTTTTATCGAGGCCATCTGATCTACGAGTCTCCTATTTCAAATATTATTTTTCTAAAACTAGGAGTTAGGTGAGATCTCATACTAACTACGGTCATGGAGTCGCGCCCGTGGTCGTTGGATGTTTATTGATGTTTCCGAAAAGAGGCATGGGGTTTTTCTTTTATTGATGTTCCAAATGGGACATGGGTTGGACAACCTTGTCTATTGCTAAATCCAATGAACTAAAATAAGTGAGTCATTTAATATCAATTAGTGAGGTCTTAATAAATTTGATAATTGAGTCACGAGTTGAGTCTGTACTTAATGATGCTTGTGCTTGATTATTAGTAGCATGTTAGGTATTTTCTTAATTTATTTCGCAGCTTGTATGTACTCAGCTTTGTTGACTGCGTGCTTTTGTGTGTCTTTCTTTGGTCATGGCCTTCGCCTTTCAATGACCCTGTGACGATCCAATTTTTACACTTGTAATATTGGGGAGCAGAATAACCACAGGGTCTTTCACATGTAGCATTCATCAGGGTTGTGGGATCTTGAGTAGAGAGTTGGTTGTTTGCATTTTATTTCTTTTTTAAGTTTGAATTTATTTTAATTCGATTTTATTTGACACTAATTCTTTTGGGTATGAATTTTATTCGAACACTGGATTTAATCACTTACTACTTTTATTGGGTTTTGAATAAGGGCCTTAATGGTTCCAACTTGTAACACTTATTTTGATTTAATCCTTTTGTTTTGAAGTATATTCATAACTGTTTTAGTTTTCCGCTGCTAAATTCTGAGATAGCCTTAACGTTTGAACACATGGAGGTAGCACGCCAGTAATTCTCTTGAAATTGTTCAGGTTATATACAAATTTCTCACAGGTTTTAAAGAGAGAATTATTGGGGTGTTACAAAGTAGTATCTGGGAGCTTAAGTTAGATTTAATTACCACTAAAGCCAATTAGCTTAGTATGACTTAGGCGCCTATTCAATGATTTAAATTTTGAATTTAAATGACAATTTTTTTTATTCATTTGAAACTAAGTATGTTTTAAACCATTTTATTTAAAACAATTTTGAAGTTTATTTTGTCTACTTGGTGAGCTTTGGGTAGACTTAAGAAGGGAATGCATGCATATTTCATACATATTTTTTTGCATTTAATTATCACATGAAGTGTTATTTTCTTTTTTATTTAACATGTAATAATTATGTTCTAATTAATTTATTTTAATGATGTGCTTGTGTTATGATTTTTGAATGTTCGTTGCGTTGGGTTAACGTAGAAAAGAGATGAGCGACTTAGTAATCACGTCTGAAAGCGTGAATAATGATATTAGGAACAACCACATTGTTGTGTCTGAGGATGAGAATGATACTCGAAGTGACGATACTCTGGAAAGGTTTGAAAAGATTATGACGACAACTAATCCAGATGAGGAAGACTACCAGTACTTACATGAGTTTAAAACAGCAAAAAAAAATAGCATAAGATTAAAACCTACTAAAGAATGTTCCATGATTATACTCTTATTGAATTTCCAGATGAGGATGAGCTTGAATGGTTACAACCACCACCTGAAGATCCAAATGCTGGGAAGAGAGCTACTAGAAATCCGAATCCGCTCTACAAGGCAATAATTATTGAAGACTCAGATGACGAAAATGACCTTGATTTTTATGTTAATAATTATAATGAGAAGAAAGATAAGAACAACTATGTTATATATTGAGAATTATTTTTGTTAGGGTGGAGTTAGCATGAATAAGGCATTTGCCATTGATATTAGTTATTAGAACCTAATTATAGTGTGATTTGGATGATTAATTTTAATAAGTAGCTAGTGCTACAGAGTCTTTATTTGGGATTGATACCTTTATATAAGTTATAATAAGAAGTTGATATTTTATTTTTAAGAGCTTCATTTTACTTTTATTTGTGAGCAAGAGCAAGTTTAATTTTAGTGATCATATACTTCTTGGGGAAAATTTCTTTGTCTATGATCAAACTTAAAAAGATTGTCACGGGATGGGGAAATTATTTTCTTAACTTCATTTAATCGTGCGTATGAATCGTGCTTTTATTGTGTGGTTTTGCTTGGGACAAGGGGGTGAAATCTCAAGGTACCCTTTTGAACCAATTTATGTGATAAATGTAATATTGTGATTCAATGAATATGTGTGAATAGTATTTGGGTTTCGTTTAAAAGGAGTGCATATTTATTTTATTTCAGGCGTAGAGCTAGAATGGCTGAGAACGCTGCCTTAGCTGATGCTATTCGTTTGTTGGCTGAAAATGTGATCCAAAACCGGGGAGACCAAGTCGAACCCCAAGCTGAAATGTTAAAGAAGCTGGCCCTACTTTCCTAGAAAACTGGATTCGAGAGTTTGACAAGCTGTTTGTGGCGCTCAACTGTCCTGAGGGTATGAAAGTGGACCAGGCCGCTATATACCTTAAGGACAAAGCTGATATCTGGTGGAGAGACAATGCTGTGACCGTTAGGGCCAAACCTAACTTTGGGTGGGGAGTGTTTAAGACCTTCTAGAGGGACAAGTTCTACCCCCCCCATTCCTGAAGAAATAGAAGGCTTAGGAGTTTATAAGCCTGGCATTGGGAGACAAATCAATCTCTGAGTACTATAATAAGTTTATGACCCTTTCTAGGTTTGCTCCTGAGGTAGTACCAACTGAAGAGCTGAAGGCTCAGAGGTTTGAGCATGGATTGACTGATGAGTTAAAGAAGGACCTAGCCGAAAAAGTTTTTAAAACCCTTGACAAGGTTTATGAGAGAGCTGCCCATCCGTACCATCTGAATACTAGGACTTCTAGTGCGAGTGCTAAAGCTGGGGAGAAAAGGAAGGACTTTGGGAAATTTGAGAACCAGAGTAACTTTAGGAGGTCTAGAAATGGGAACTCGTTTGATAGGGGTAACCAGAATGTTAGCAGTTATTCCAATGGTAACAATGGAGAGAGAACCTACCACTGTAAGAGGTGTAGAAGGAACCACACTAGGAGAGACTGTGATGGGAATTTGGTGACCTGCCGGTTCTGCAACAAAAGGGGACACAGGAAGTATGAGTGGTACACCAAGCAGAAACAACAGGGAAATGGTGGAAATGGTGGGAATGGTGGGAACACCCAGCAGAGGCCTAACAGTTTCAATAACCAGGGGAATAGGGGAAATGGTTAGAATGGGAAGTTTGGGAATGGTAGCAACAATAACAACAGGTCTGGCAATGGCAACAACAACAATTCAGGCAACAACAATAATGGTTATCAGGCAAGAAACAACACTCCCGGGCGCTTGTCTGTGATGAGCAAGGGAGAAGCTGAGAGGTCCTCGGATGTAGTTTCTGGTACTTTTTCTATCCAATATGTCTCTGTCAACACTCTATTTGACTCTGGAGCAGCTTATTCTTTCATTTCTACTTATGTTGTTCGCAAGTTAAACTTAACTGAATCGAGTCATGTTGATGAGTCAGTCAGTCTGCCTACGGGCAAACTTGTTCATTGTAATAAAATATTCAAAGGCTTGCCTTTGAAAATAGGAGAAGCTATCTTTCCATCAGACCTTATTGAGTTTAACCTAGGGGACTTAGGTGTAATTCTGGGGATGGATTGGCCGAGTTTATACAAGGCTAAGATAGACTGTGAGATTCAGAGGGTGCAGTTGAGTGATCCTTTGGGTAAGAAAGTGTCCTATAGACGGTTAGGGAAGCCTAAGGGTTTTGAGATTATTTCTGCTATGAAGGTGAACAAGCTAGTGAATAAGGGATGTCCATTGTACTTTTGTTGTGTTCAAGATTTGAGTATGAGTGAGAGTAGGCGGATGAAGGATGTGCCCATTGTGAATTAGTTTTTAGATGTCTTTCCAGAATAGATTTCGGGAATTCCACCTAAGAGGGAAGTTGAGTTTATCATTGACTTAGTTCTAGGAGTTGCACCTATCTCAAAAGCACCGTATAGAATGGCACCAGCTGAGATGAGTGAACTAAAGGCTCAATTGCAGGAGTTGTTAGACAAAGGGTTCATTAGGCCCAGTGCATCACCATAGGGAGCACATGTGCTATTTGTGAAAAAGAAGGATGGAAGTTTGAGGCTATGTATTGATTATAGAGAGTTGGATAATGTGACTGTGAAGAATAAGTACCCTATACCTAGGATAGATGACTAATTTGACCAACTGAAGGGGGCAAGCGTGTTTTCGAAGATTGACTTGAGGTCGGGTTACCATCAGTTGAAGGTTGTAGATAAAGGAATTCCAAAAACTGCCTTTAGAACTAGGTATGGACATTATGAGTTTATGGTCATGCCTTTTGGGTTAACCAATGCACCAGCCATATTCATGGACTTGATGAACCGAGTGTTTCATGAGTACTTGGACAAGTTTGTAGTCGTTTTTATTGATGATATTTTGGTGTATTCGAGGAATGAGGAAGATCATGCTGACCACTAGAGAACTACCCTTGAAACTCTTAGAAAGAACAAGTTGTATGCTAGTTTTCCAAGTGTGAGTTCTGGTTGGAGAAAGTTGCATTTTTGGGGCATTACATTTCGAAGGAGGGTGTATCCATGGATCCTGCAAAGATCAAGGCGGTGAGTGAGTGGACTACACCTAAGAATTTGACTTATGTTCGTAGTTTCTTGGGGTTAGCTGGATATTATAGAAGGTTTGTTAAGGATTTTTCGAGGATAGCCGGACCCATGAATACTCTTATGAAGAAGCAGACCAAGTTTGAGTTGAACGAGAGTTGTGAATTAGCTTTTCAAACCCTTAAAGAGCAATTGACTACCGCAACATGGTCTGGGATTACCTGATGGGATAGAAGGATTCGAAGTGTATAGTGATGCCTCAAAGCATGGTCTGGGATTTGTCCTACAACATAATGGAAGGGTGATCGCATATGCATCGAGACAAATGAAGAAACATGAAGTCAACTACCCTACCCATGACTTGGAGCTTGTAGCTGTTGTGTTCGCTTTGAAGATTTGGAGGCACTACCTTTACGATGTTTCTTGTAAGATCTTTACGGACCATAAAAGTCTAAAGTACATCTTCAACCAAGATCACTTGAACATGCGGTAACGTAGATGGTTGTAGTATCTTACAGACTACCATTTCCACATCCAGTATCACGAGGGAAAGGCGAATGTAGTTGCGGATGCCCTTAGCAGGAAGTCAAGTCATAATGTCAATGCTTTGATTGTGGCCAATGAGTTGTGTGAAGATATGAGGAGATTGAACCTTGAGGTTATCAACCAAGGAGAGTTAGAGGGATTACTAAGTGCTTTAACCATCCAACCTTCCATATTTGAGGAGATTAAAGAAAAGCAACTGGAGGATGAGTCGTTTCAAAAGATTAAGGATCGTGTGACTAGTGGTGCGGAGACTGAATTGAAGATTCATGAGGATAGGAGCTTGAGATACAAGGAGAGATGGTGTATACCATAGAAGTGTGAGGATATTAAAAGGAAAATCATGGAGGAGTGCCATAATACACCATATTGAGTTCACCCTGGGTGTGATAAGTTGTATAAGGACTTGAAGGAGTTCTATTGGTGGCCGAATATGAAGAGAGAAGTGGCTGAGTTTGTATCCAAGTGGTCGAATACTAAGTCAGCGATGTTTATTCCTATTAAAGAGACCTAGAAAGAGAAGCAGCTAGCAAGTTTCTATGTGAAGAATGTAGTTCGGTTGCACGGAGTTCCCATGGACATAATGTTAAGTAGAGACTCTAGGTTTCTATCAAAGTTTTGGCAAAAAGTGCAAGAGAACCTTGGAACAACATTGAAGATGAGTACTGCCTTTCACCCTGCAACTGATGGTCAGACTGAGAGAACAAACCAAACCATGGAGGATATGTTACGAGCTTGTGCTTTAGATTTCCAAGGAAATTGGGAGGATCACCTACCTTTGATCGAATTCTCCTACAATAACAGTTACAATGCATGTATCAAGATGGCACCATTTGAAGCATTGTATGGAAGGAAGTGCAGAAGCCTAGTTTGCTAGAATGATTACAGTGAACGGGTTAATTTGGGTACAGATTTCATTGAGGATATGGTGAGCAAGGTGAGACTAATCCAGTCGCGTATCAAGGCAGCACAAGATAGATAAAAGAGTTATGCCGACTTGAAGAGGAGAGATGATGAGTTTAGTGTTGGGGACAAAGTCTTTCTAAAGGTTTCTCCAACAAAAGGTGTGATGCGATTCGGAAAGAAAGGGAAGCTTAGTGAAAAATATGTGGGTCCGTATGAAATTCTCCAACATGTAGGGAAAGTGGCTTACAAATTGGCTTTGCTAATGGAGTTCGAGAAAATGCATGATGTTTTCCACATTTCCCAATTGAAAAAGTATGTGCTTAGTGAAACCCATGTTTTGCAGCCGGAGACTATTCAACTAGATGAGTCTCTAACTTATGAAGAAAGACCAGTCAAGATATTAGATCACAAGGTGCGTAGTACTAGAACCAAAGATGTGAAGATAGTGAAAGTCCTTTGGTCAAACCTGGAGTATGAAGAGGCTACTTGGGAGGCCGAGGAAGAGATGAAAAACAAATATCCCGAGTTGTTTGACGAGGTGAGTTACGAGGGCATAACTCTTTTCTTTTGAGGGGGGAAGAATGCGATGTAATTTCGCGCTTTTACCTCAATTATACCATTTATTGCTTGATTTTGCATGTTTTTGTTTATCATTATGCATTATTATTGCGTTTACATACAATAAAAGTATGTAAACTTTGGCCAACTATGAGTTCATTGAGTACAAAGTTCGGTTTGTTAAGTATGCATGTTGAGAAGCAAGCAATTCACATCAATACAAAACGCATAAGTTTGAATACTTTTGAGGATCTATCGATTTTGGGTAAAGTTTCGAGGGAAAAACTTCTTTTAAGAGGGGTAGATTGTATTCCCCCATATTTTCAACTTAATTATAATTTATTTATATATTATTCTTACAAATATTTTTAGGAAAATTTTTAATTTACCTCCAAAAAATATACCTAATTTCTAACTTACCACCCAAAAAAACTTTTATTTTAAATTACCACCCAATAATTTAATTATTCACTCAAATTACCACCCAATTTGAATTTCCGGTGGAATTCAGTCACGTAGGCCCCAGTCAACGGCTATAAACGACTATTTTTTGGTTTTTAACATTTTCCCTCCCCGATTCTTCCTATAAAACACTTCCCCTAACTGAAATTTTCATCCCATGTTAAATTTCTTCAGAAATTCCACAAATTGGACGTGATTTGTAATAGCACTAGCAACCCTAATTTGCGAAAGAAAATTAAATATCTTTAGGTAACCTTTTTAATCTGTAAAAATTAGGGTTCTTATCTGAATTAAATTGGGGGAAATTGTTAGGGCTTTTAATTGGGGGAATTAATTAGGGCTTTGAAGACAAATGAATTTATTAATGTAGGTTAGTAGGTTATATAGTAGTATTTCAATGGGGTTTCTGTTAAATTGTGTGATTGAATTTGAATTACTTTAGCTGGAATTGTAGTTTCAAATTGTAGGGCATGTTAGGGTTGATTTGAACATGTGTTGAGCTTGTGTTGTTTATTTATTGTTGGAATTGTTGTGGCAGAAATGGAGGAGAATACGGTGATTCCCAGATTTAAGTATTTGACTGTTGAAATTGACATTGAATATGAGATTGGTAAAAGTAACTTGCAAGATACAGCGATAGCATTTGAAGATCAACTTTGAGATATGGATGATCCAGTAGACGGATAAATAGACCTACTGTACCCAATATTTCAGTACATTTATAAAGGGAAATTTAGGACCTTAGAGGATGATGGTGATGTGTTCAAGATGATTAGAAGATTACCTAATCAGGACACATACATCATACATGTTGGGAGCACAGATGACCCTGGTTTCTTAGCAGACTATATCATCGAGTACATGATGAAACAAAATGGGACTTGGCCGCCCCGTGGTTATCCTCATTTTGGTGGCCAACCACCTCAGTGAATAGATGTTCTTGTTTAAGATGTGTGTAATTTCTTGTTTGGTGGATCTTGTTACATAAACTAACATCTTTTATGGTAATTGTAGGTTAGAAGATGTCTTGGAATAACTCTTCTCCCACAAATAAGAAGAAATGCAATTGTGGTTTACCTTTGGCAAAATTAACATCTTGGACTAGGGAGAACCCTGGGAGGAAATTCTTGGCTTGCAAATTCTATGACCCTAACACTGAAACTAGGGGGTGCAAGTGTTTTGAGTGGGTTGACACTGAAGATGGAACAGATTGGCAAAGAGATGTGATCAATCAACTTTTGCTTGACAAGAAGTTAATGAAAGCTGAAGTGAACTCTCTGAAAAGGGATGTTGAAGACTTAACTGGGCAAAGAAGGTGTATGCTGAATGAGGTGGACAATTTGAAAGTAAAATGCAAGTCTCTCAATGGGGATAGGAAGATGATGATCACCAACTCTGCCAATATAGATAACAAGCTTCTTGTTTATTTTGTTGTTTTGTGTTCTGTTTTCTTGGTTATTCTAGGTGTTGTTGTAATGAAATTATTGTAATAAGTGGGAGGGGATGTTAAGGCTTGGAATATTGTACTCTTTGTTGATGAATGAAATAAGTGAACTTTTTGCAACATAATTTGTGTACTGTTTTTGCTTTTTAAAGATGTGAATGAGTAGTGTTGCTTTAACAAAGCTTGAAGTTTAGTGAATTAAAGAGCACTTTAAAACCAACATGTACAAATTAGGCAACAAAAACCCCAAAGCTTGGTTAAACCATGTCTTAGACAGACACAAAATCATCAATATTATCAAATTAGGCATTGAAACACAAATTTGTTTTACAAAGGGCACTAATTAAGTGCTGTTGTCAAAATGACATGTTTTTTAGAGCAAAAATATTTGTTCACTTACACAGTTCAAAATACAAACAATGTAGACAAAAATATAGGTTCACCAACACTGTTAACTTTCTTAAAAATATTACAGACTAAAAAAAGTTCATAAGTTCAATTGGACTAAAATAAATCAGCTAATCCCTAAGTCTAATAGGCTTCAACTTGGATCTTGTCTCTCTGGTATAAGTAGAAGGAACTTCTGTAGCTGAACCCCTAGTCTGCTGCTTAGAGTGAGTCTTCTTTTGATTCTGAGTCTGAGTCTTTTGCTGGGTCTGACTCTCACTGTTCCGCTGACTACCACCCTGCTGCTGCTGCTGACTAACACCCTGTTGTTCTCTCCTATGCTCCTCTTGGGGAAACCTTTTATTGCCAATGTTGTTAGGACCCGCTGTTCCACCCAATGCAACACTCTGTAACACAAAATTAAGAGTAAGTAGGGTGTTTAGTAACACATAACAGATCACTAAGCTCAAAATATTTTACCTTTTTCAAAGCTCTTTCTTGTTTTTTCTTTCTTTGGTCATTCACCTAGTCTGTGTTCAAAGGTGGCCTTCCACCTTCTTTCTTAGGAGAAGACACAGCTACTAGTGTGACAGATGGATTTTTACAAGTTTTGGTAAAGTGCCCTAGTTGCCTGCAGTTCTTGCAAGTACTCTTCCTCTTCACACTCTACTGCTCCTGATTCTTGTGCTGGCTTGGCACTTCACCTTTCTCCAACTTCCTCTTCCTTGACTTGGGTCTCCCTGGCTGTACTTTGATGGCTGGTGGTAGTGGTTGCCTCAGCTTCACCTTGTCCTAGTAGTGTGGACCAGGCATTGCTGCAATTTCATGCCTATATGCCAACATGTATGTAGACATAAGGTAGGCATTGTCCACATAGTCCTCAGGGTCTGCCCTTTTGTCCATTATGCAAGCATATACATAGACACAAGGGATACCAGTGAGTTCCCAGTGGTAGCAGCTGCATGTATGCTTACTCAGGTCAACTGTGACTAGGTCTGAGTTAAGCTCAACCTCATAACTATCACCCCTAGACAATTGTACAATGAAGTACTTTGTAGCAGATTTAATTCTTTGAAATGTCTTCTTCACATATGGAGTTACCTTTCCTTCCATTCTCTGAAAGCTTTCCCACTTATCTAGGTTTCATTTCATCAAATACCTCCTAAGCCACTCCATCTGAGTCAAGATTGGTTTATCCCTAGCCTCTTTAATAACAACATTAAAAGTCTCACAAATGTTGTTGAGCAACATGTTTGATTAAGGGAAAGCACTAAAAGCATGCCTAGACCAGTGATCAGCAGGGATATCAACAAGATAATTATAAGCTTCTTCAGACAAAAAATTTATTGACTCCATTGCTACTTCAAAGTCACACTACATAGGTTTTATTTAACAAACACACAACAAAAGGCAGATCAGAACAATGACATTCATATCAGATTACAGTAGCTTAATGTTTTAGAAAACAAGGGTTAGATACCTGTGTTGTTGCCCTTGCTGTTGGCCATAACAGATCCTTGAATTTAGCTCCACTAAACTGCAACTTGAAGTTTGCCCAAATATATCGGACACAATACCTAGTGTCTGCATATGGCACAACTTGTTGCAATGCTTCAAGCAACCCCTATTCATATACCAAACATAGTCAGTCACTTAAAGCAAGAATTGAAATAACTAATTTAAAGTAGATGACATAAGAGTGTAAATGGTTACCTTTTGCCTATTTGACATAAAAGTATACCCCAATCCTTGATTTTCATCTTTAAGGGATTTCATGAGACTTTCAAAAAACCAAACCCAAGTCTCTGTGTTCTCTATTTCAGCTGTGGCCCATGCAATAGGATAGATGTTGTTGTTTCCATCTTTACCCACTGCAACTAATATCTGACCAGGGTATGGACCTTTTAGGTGACATCCATCAACCCCAATCAGTGGCCTACAACCTGACATAAATCCCTTTGCTGATGTGCAAGGCATATAAACATTCTCAAGAATAATGGGGGCTCAGGCCTATCAATTCCATCAACTACAACATTGCATTCAGTGCTTGGGTTGTATTTCATCAATGCCTTCCCATAGTCCCACACCCTTGCATATTGTTCAGCTGCAGATCCATATATCAGAAGTTTAACCCTTGCTCTAGCCATCCAAGCTTTACTGTATGTAATTTCAATACCAAGATCCCCTAAAACCCTCCTTCTAAAGCTCTTCAGTTTCCAACTTGGGTTACTCCTCCAGTCTTCAATATACTGTTCAGCTAAAAATTCAGCTGTGATATTTAGGTTGCTTCTGATCCTTAAACAGTTATGCTTCAAATGAAGACCCTTGATTTGCCAAAAATCTTGATTCAAAGACCTCCTTGCAACCACCCTAAACTTACATCTCCTTCCCCCAACACAAGTGCACTTAGGAAGCCTACACCTTTTAGAATCCCCATAAGCACTGGCACCTTCTTCTACACTGCACAGTTAGTTTGCTGGTGACATTGTGCAAATACCAGAACTCATACCTATTTTCAATGGCATGAACCCTTATAACCTTCCTGAGCACCTTATTGTTAAGGAACTTATATCCTTTCACCAACTAAATTGGTTTTTTGAAATCTGTTGAGACATGAAACCATGGGTAATTTTCTGTCTTATCATCAGAACCTCTAAGGCTTTCCAAATCCTCAGAATCAGATGTAAACTCTCTCTGTAGAGTTACCTCCTTGGTCACCAGCTCACTCTCAAGCATACACGACTGCTCATGTTCACTCTCCTCCCTTACACCCTTTAAACTTGCATTCACTTCATCAAGTATGCTCTTAACATATGTATCAGCATCCTCCTCATCCCCCTCCTCTTCTCCTGCTTCCCAATTTATGTCAATGTCACTGAATTCAGAACTGGAGGAACTAGAACCAGATTATGATTCATACTCATCCTCAGTCCTTGGCTTTTTCTTCCTCTTCCCCTTTGCTTTCCCTTTTCCCTTCACCCTAGTAATCCCAGATGTACCTTCCTCTTCACCCTGCTTCTTCTTCCCTTTCACAGTGTCCGAGAATAGTTTTTTTTAAGGTCTTCTTAGTGTGCACTACAACCCTATCACCCTCTTTCTTGTTATTTTCTAGCTCACCAGTGTATTCACTAGGCAACTACTGCTTTAACCTAGGGTTTCTCCTCAAATCTGTGGGTTATCAGTTTTTACTTGACTGTTTTGGGTGGGTTCAATAGTTATGGGTTCAATGATAGTACAATAGACAACAACAAAGTTATCCTTAGTCTTTGTCTCTAATAACCCTTTGACATCACCATCATCCAAAATTTCCTTTTTGCCAATGGTCCAACTCTTTTCCTTTATCTTATACCATATGTTCCACAAGGTTGGCACATGCAAATAAAATTTCACACAGCCCCAAATACAAGATTTCATAAGCAAGTTGACAGACAACTCACTCACTTTACACTTGTACCTCCAATAATCCCACCCACCCTCATATCCACACAAAGTTTTCCCCTTTACTTTCCTGTTCACAAACACACCTCCTATTCTAACCTTAAGATCTACAATAACATCATCACCAATAGCAACCTGTCCATTTAATAAAGCAATATTTAATAACAAAAAAAAAGCATACAAACCTAGACACTAAACAGATTACACATAGTAGCATTAAACAAATCAACTAAAACACTGTGTCTTACCCACATCAGTAAATAAACAATAAAACAAACCAACAATAAATAATTAAACAATAATTGCCCTCAATTAAACAATAAACAATTCAATCAACTAACACAAAGAACCCTAATTTTCAAAAAAATTGCAATTATACCATCAACAACAAACAGCTACCAAAATTAAATACAAGGAACAAAATTGCTTACCTCTTTCGACCCCATTGCAGTACTCTATTGCCCTCTGGCTGACCTAAGCAGGTGGTCCCCAACAAAAACCCCAAAGATGCTGACTTTTCTTCAGCGTAGCTTCTCCAGTAAACCCAGCTACCCTCCAATTAATATTTTGCAGAGCAATTAGATTTTTAAAACCTATAGGGTTCCAAAATGAGATGAAATGTTCAGAAATAAGAAGAAAAAGGGATTTTTCTGTGAATTAAGGGCTGAAATTGAATAAGAAATAGAGTTAGTTGGGAGAATTGAATAGGGAATAGAAAGAAGTCGAAGAAAAAGAAAAAAAATTGGAGGGAACTAACTATAGTGGGGCCCATGGACTGAATTCCACCAGAAATTCAAATTGGGTGGTAATCTGAGTGAATAATTAAATTATTGCGTGGTAATTTAAAATAAATTTTTTTTTGGGTGGTAAGTTAGAAATTAGGTATATTTTTGGGTGGTAAATAAATTTTTTTCCATATTTTTATGTCAATTTCATTGAATAAATTATTTTTATGAACAAATTTAAGTAAACTAATATGTTTTTGACTAATTTACACACAATTTTAACTTAATAGCCCAAAACCTCAAATTTTACTCCTAATATAATTAGGAAACCCAAGACCCAAATAAAACCCTCACACTTTTCCTCTCTCTCACGTAAAAAAAAAATGAAAGCTTTCACTCTCCTTCTTCTCCCTGCATTCACGAACAGCAAAAAAAAAAAAAAAAAAAAAACCTTTGAAGCTCCTGCCGCCGCACCAGCCACACGAACCACCTCCTCACTGGCCGCCAGCATCGCCGCCCCTCACCGGCCATCGGCCAGCCGCGCCTCCCCTTGCAGTTTGCCCCTTCTTCTTCCCTTTTCTCTACTTCTTTTTATTTTATTAAATTGATTTAAAGTTGTAATATGTGTTTAATTTTTATTATAAATGATTGTTATTATGGTTTGATATTATACTTGGGTTGTAAAAGATTATGAATATATGATTTTTGACATGTTTAATTTATTATAGAAAATTTCAGATTTGTTTAATTAAGAAAATAAGGGTTTAAACATTGATTTTTCATGTTTTAGGGCTTGAAAACGTGTTAATCAAGTTATCTAATCATACTATGTTTAAATTACGTTAAAGTATAATTATTTTAATCATGTATAAATTTCCAGATTTATTAAAGTTTCAATTTTTATGAACAAGTTGTGTTAATTTCATATTTTTATGCTTGTAGTCTTATAAAATAATCATTGTGGGTATTTTATGATTAAAAAAGCTTTGAACTTTAAATTCTAATCCCAAGAATAAATTTTCAAATTTTATACTTTTATTTTGAAGCCTCTAATTGCATTGAATTGGTATATTTTTTTGGGTTTTTAACACACTAACTTGCTATATAAATTCTAATCTCAAGAATAAATTTCCAGATTTATTTACTTACTTTAAAGTTGTTGTAATTTGATATAAACACTATATTTTCATAATTCTAACATATAAACTTAAAGTTGGGATGTTATATTATTAACTTTGATTATTGGGGACAATTTTAAGGCTTTATTTTGATGATTTAAGAGGTTTTAAAGTAGTTTAGTATTGCTGTAAATTTATTTGCTTTAGTATTGATTTATTTCTAATTGTTTGGTTTAGGAGAGGACTTTTTAGAAGGAGACTTCTAGTTTTAAAGTGGCCACCGGATTGTTTACACAAGGTACGTACAAGTTACGAAACCTTGCTTGTAGGTGTATGTTTAAGGACGGATTGAGAACTTAGTATCATGTATAGGATTGACTTGGTTAAATTGTCTGGTTATACATTGTGAATTTCAAATGATGTGCACTAGTTACAAGTATTATTTTTGCTCTAATTATGCACGGTGCGCTTAAAGGAAAAGGTATGTGATTGTTGTAAAGATTAAATTATTATTCATTCATGATTATGCAAACAGGATGAGTAAAGGAGAAATTCAAGTCTTGTAAGACGAGGTGAAGGTTTTGGGGTGCCTTATGCACTCAAGGTGTTTATACACCGAGGTAGTAAAGGAATAATTAATAAATGTTGTTTGTCACTAATAAATCAAGAATTTAAATTGAGAATTTGCCATGTTTGATTGAATTGTGTTTGGAATGTTTGTATTGTAATGTATATGAGTCGTCACCAAGTCTAAACATGTAAATCACGTAAAGTGCAAGATGGATGAGCAATAAAACTCTGGAATGGTGCACATCTGGAGTAATGACAATCATGGGTTGGGGTACATGGGGTATTAGCCGTGTACTTTTATCAAGGCTGTCTGATCTACGAGTCTCCTATTTCAAATATTATTTTTCTAAAACTAGGAGTTAGGTGAGATCTCATACTAACTACGGTCACGGAGTCGCGCCCGTGGTCGTTGGATGTTAATTGATGTTTCCGAAAGGAGGCATGGGGTTTTTCTTTTATTGATGTTCCAAATGGGACATTGTAGGCGTTGTTTGAAGTGCGCCTACGTTAAAGCATGTGTGAATATGCTTGGCACTCCTAGGAAGTGGGAAGTGACATATACCATTAGGGACAAGGAAAGTAGGGAGCCGCCAACAAGTTCTTAAGGAACTTGTAAACTGTTCTTGGATCATAAAAGGCAACCACGAATAAGGGACAACGATAGGCAACAACGATTAACCTGTGAGAGTTACACCCCATTCATAATCCATGAGATTACTAACTCCATATGGTTCGGAACCACGAAAGGAGGATCGGGGATGATGGTACAAAGTGAGTCATGGAGTCACATTCGCCTGTATTGGCCTCTACTCGATTCTTATAGTGAAAAGTAATTCCTGCGATCTCAAAGGCATACAAACAAAAATTCAATTTGCTCCAAACTATTATTATGCTAAATTTGTTGAATATTAATGCAACATATAATCTTAAAATATTTGTGATCACTTGAATTAAGCAACAAAATTAAAAGGAACCTAAATCGGTTGTCCAAATTATATTATTAGTCGTGATTTTCAATTACATATTCCCTTTAAACATGCAATATGGTGATCAATAATAACAATAGAATAAACATTAATATTGGAAGCAATTTAACAATAATAGCGTTAGTGAAATCAAATATAAAATAACCTAATCATGATACTAGAAATATAAAATAAAATAAGAGTAATTAATTTAATAAAATACTTACATTCAGCACGTTCCTTTAAATTGCTACATCATGAATAGACTGTTAGTAACTTCAGTAAAAAAAAATAAAGTAGATGAAAATTATATTAAATAAAAAGTAGAATTGATTTGGTCCAAACCCTCAGTTATTTGTACCTTTCACGCCTTGGTTTAAGGAAGGAACCTTGGGTTAAGTATAGACTCCTTGGAGTGCTTAGGGGAATTATTATGGAAGAATAAGGAAGCTAGAAATAAGGTTAAAGAGGGAGAAGAGAATGATTTTTGGTGTAAGGTGAGAGAGAATGATTATTGGTGCCCCGTACATCAGAAATGAGGGGGTATTTATAGAAAAAATGTGCTTAGGGAACACACGGAACCCTAAAATGATAAAAACCCTAAAAAGTATATCGTGACACGGAAAAGTGTACCGTGACACGGGAAATCCCACCGTCAGACCGGAAACATTCCCGTGACACGGTATACTTTTGTGTGACGTGGGAAATATACGCTGATCGGGAAAGAAAACACGTTAAGGGTTGACGCGGAAAGGACACGAAAACCCCCGTGTCACGACAGGTGTCCCGTGTCACGGGGATTCCCACCTTCTGACGGAACAGGTTCCCGTGACACGGTGGACAGCTCCCGTGCCGCGGGAGTTTGTGGTCCGTTTTTCCGTCTAAATTCATTTTTTACCCTAATTTCATTCAGCATTTTAAGTGCCGAATAATAATTTCGGGCCATTTCTGATTTATTATTATTATTTAGGCTAAAAAAATAAAATAAGTAAATAAAATAAATAAAAGGTTTGGGCCAAATAAATAATAAAACAATAAACTAAAAAAGGTTTGGGCTAAAATTAAATAATAAGTTTGGGCTGAAATTAAAACTATGCTTTTACCAAACATCAAGACTAATACGAATTTAATCAAATACGATTTTTTAAGCTCTCTCGGGATTAAATACTAAACGCGACCAATAGTGGCGGTGAAAGGTTGTTCATCTTCGGGTTTGGTTTTGGGGAGACATTTTTAGGTGTTTACAGAAGCCCCCACTTTGACTGAGTTTGTAGAAACGTCAGTTTCAAAAACGATAGTCAAAGTAGTCGATAGGGACGGAGAATGATTTAAGATGTTCTGCGATCCTAAACCATTCTGTATACGCCGATACCTGCAGAAAAATGTTAATTCCACAGATAAAAGAGTAAAAGGATATAATACGTATCTGGCACCAGTGTATCGGTGACAAATGAGTTTGGCAGCTTCCTGTGCTTGAAGGAATACACCGGATGACGTTTGTTGAAACGCTTTCCATGCCTGAGGAAAGCCAACTGAGGAGTTTGGTAGTTTTCTAAGCCTGAAGAAACCTACCGGATGATACTTTCCATGCCTGAGGAAAGTCGACATATGAATTTGGTGTCATTCTATGCTTGAAGAAATCCACTGATGATGCTTTCCATGCTTGAGGAAAGCCGACAAAGGAATTTGGCGGTTTTCTATGCTTGAAGAAAAATCCACCGATAACGCTTTCCATGCTTGAGGAAAGCCGGCAAAGGAATTTGGCGATTTTCTATGCTTGAAGAAAAATCCACTGATAACGCTTTCCATGCTTGAGGAAAGCCGGCAAAGGAATTTGGCGGTTTTCTATGCTTGAAGAAAAATCCACCGGTAACGCTTTCCATGCTTGAGGAAAGTCGACAGATGATGAGATTGCAAGTCTCTGTGTATTGAGAACCTTACGCCATGAAATGATGGTGGTTCGATTGTCCCCAAACGTGGGGTGTTAATGGTTCTCTTGTCCCCGAACGTGCGTCGTAGATGGTCCGCTTGTCCCCAGACGTGGGATGTAGATGGTCCGCTTGTCCCC